CACATGGCGCTTATCGAACGCCTCAGGTGGGTCCATTGGATTAAGAGATTAGCAGTCAGCGTCATAGTGTAAATGGCCAGATTTGTAGGACACTGAGTAGCTATACTCTTGGAGCCGTAGTGCCCATCGACCGAGGCGCCAATTGCATTATTGCTTAACTATATGCCCAAATATATGTATTTATTTGTTATCTCTAGCGTAACGTGCATCCTAAGCTCACTACCTTCATTATCAAAAATAATCACTGTTTTTTCCTTACTGAATCAGAAATCTAACCTATCTCCCTTATTACCACAGATGTCAATCAATCTCTGCAAATCTTCCTTGTTGTCGGCCATCAGCACTACATCTTCGTACATCAATGCTGGTAGTGTCTGTTCAATGAGTTTTTCTTGTTTGACGAAAAAAAGGCTGAAGCCAAGTTTACTCCGCTCTGATTTAGCCTCTACTCCTTGTAGGTACGTACATCATGAATAACAAGGGTGACAGAGGACACCCTTGCCTAAGTCCCCATTTTATTTTTGTGGGCTCGGATGCCTGTTTTTCCCATTTTATAACTACCTTGTTACTTTTAAAGATGTCTTTTAAAAGATTAGTGACTGTTTTTCACACCTAGTGTGTCCAGTACTCCCCACAAGTCCTCTTAAGCCACAGTATAATCGTAAGCTCCCCTGATATCCAAAAATGCTAGCCACAGCTAGGGGCCCGAGTTCGTTTACTGCTATTTCGATGCACAGCGTCAGAGAGAACAGATTGCCTTCTAACATGCTTTGTTTACGAAACCCATTCTGCAGTTTCCCCAGCACCCCCTCATCTTTTATCCATGTACGTCTTTCCTTTATAATCTGCATCGCCTGCCTGTAGACCACTGACATGTCACTGTTATAGGACGGTAGTTGTTTATGTCAGCTTTGTCCCCCTTTCCTTATTAGATCATGCTCATCCTGCTAAGTTTCCATCCATCGGTAACTTCACCATCGATTATTGTTCTGCCCGCTGCCTCGCTCAGTCTGCTTAGAATTGGGACCCAACGTCTTTATCAGCATAATTGGGATGCCGTCAGGGCCTGTTGATGTAATACTAGGAACCCTCTTCTCATCCCTTTCCCACCCTCGTTGTAAAAATGGAGCCACTGCACAACTTGATCCATCTTTGTCTATTAAGGTGCATAAGGAACTTCCTTGTTGAAAATTTTCTGTCACCCTTGCTTTTATATTCAAAAGCTTCGTCCCCTTCTAGCCTAATACCTTGAGCTGTAGTTATAGCTCTGCTCTAGGCTTGTCTCCTTTCTTAGGGAGTTTAGATGGTTCCAAAACTTTGCAGCTGCCTTTCTTTCCTTTTTATGTACTTCTGCCAGCCACTGAGCACCCTTTCTTCTAATCTTTTCATTGATCAGGAGGGATGCTTGGACCCCTTCAACTTAGAAAGATATCCCATTTCTTTCAACAGCATCTATCAGTTCACCTCACTGCTAGGCATGTCTGTGTTCCCTAGAGGCTTCCCGACGTTTTGCTATGGCTCTCTTCTTCATCCCACCATATTTTGGGTTTCTTTCTGGAACCCAGATTAAAAGCTCCCTCTCCCAGTAGCCGGGTGCGTGAGGCGATACTCGCTGGTTGTGCTGGGGAGCGTGGCGATTGGGACGGCCGGAGAGAAACCCGCCGCGGGCTAGAGTACACAAGTGCGCGCAGGTGCATCTAGCCCGGCCGTGGTACGTTTGTGGAGTCGCCCCTCTGCATACCCTTTACCGGAAAGTCAGCCCACTGTCGCCTTCTGGTACACTGTAGCCGGGACCACTGAAAAAGCATCAACAGAAGTGCCGCACCGGAAGTCTGCTGGAGTAGGCCGATATTGCAATTCACGTACTTCGTCGGTTCAAGTACTAAGACCTTTCGGGGTGATGTCACCTTTTCGCGAGTGCTTCAGTCTTCAAAAAATGCAGCAGGGTGTTTACAGACTTCCTAGTAAATCTGTGAAAAATTATAAAGGTCATTATAGTGAAAAATATTTGAAGTACAGCATTGAGATGAATAATACTGAAATGCTTGTTCCTTAATTGGAAGAACTGGTCTCGCACCTAACAGCTGTTTTCCCATTCGGTAGCTTCCTCATTAAGTTGCCTACTGCTGTGAATGGAAAAAACCAGAATTTTTTTATCACTTAAAACAAAATTTTATGATAGAACTTGCATTATAAGAATTGTTTGATTTCAATTGAGGTGAACACTGATTTTTAATTGGGGCACCACATTGTGCAAAATGAGTCAATCAGGGCCAAAATGCTTTTATAAAATAAATTTTTCTTGAACAATATAAAAATGTCAGTGGTTTTGAATGTAAAAAATACCTCTCGTGAAGTAAGTAACTATTACTTCGATATTTATGTATAGTGCAATACTGCAAAAAAGAATGCTAACAAACGTTCCAGTGAAATTCTTCTAAACGTACAATGTAGTAAAATTGCAATAAAGTCATTGAGGTTCGAACAGCATTCACAAATGCCTTTGCTTTATGTAAACCAATTTTCTTGTTGAAACAAGAAAGAATGCTCTCTGGATAAAATTTCTGACATACAACACCCTGATGACTTTCCGTAGAAAACTTCCACGTGACCAAGAATTTTTTTTCTCTTAAACGTGTTTAGCAGTAAGCCGTTTTTAATGCATTAAGTTAGCATGATTTCTTGGTGTTGATCACCAAAAGAGTCAAGACATTTGGAAAGGAACTTGGAATCTGTTTTTGAGAAGGACATCCAAGCTGTTACCAAGAGAAGGGAAAATCAAGGTCAAAGTTTTATTTTTAGATTTTGTACCGACATTTTTCCATGCATGACATCACAAGTTTCTTAGTAAATTTCTCACATTTCGCCAACATTGGCTCAATGAAATTTCATAAAACTTGACACGGCAACTCCACAGCCTATTCAGAGGACAATGTACCTCACTTTTACCTTCAAGATATATGTATGAACGAGTATGCGCTGTGGAACTATATCGATTGGTCATGGCATTCGGTGCGGCAATTTTAAGGTGGCATATTACTTCCAGCGTTTTTCGTCGTGTATTTTCTTAGTTTCCAAGCAACCTCTCACGGTAAGAGAAGTGTTTTGGGTATTGCAAAACCTAGCCCAAAGAAACACCATGTTTATATCTCATAAGAACATGCTGAACAATTCTCTCTTTCTTTTTGCTTCGAATTATAGGAAAAATATTTTAGAAATATTTGATTCGATTACCACTCACACTTAAATACTCAGACTTTCACTATTCGCACAGCTCTAGTTATGTGTAATGTATAGCAATAAAGTATCAATGTTCTGTACACATCACAAGCAGTGCTTCCCGAACTGCGAAGTTTGTGCACAGTTTGTTTTCTAAACATGATCAAACTACTTAGCTTCGAAACAATAGATGAGAACTGAGAACTGACATGCCTGCCAAACATGTGAGCAAAGGAGAAATTACATTTTCTGTTGATGTGGCGAGTTGTTTCTGTGATAAGCTTGATCGTGGATTATCTACAAACTAAACCAACAACTTTCAAAACACCCACATTCTACATAACAGACGAGCTGAATTCCAGCTTGGCAATGTGTCTGTGCTATTTTGCAGTTTCTATCTTCTGTACACTCAAAACTGAAGGAGCTCGACATGTTGATGAATCGTTACCATCACAGCGTAGGAAGCGGGCTTCATTTTTTTGCAGCAGCTTTGGGAGCAGGAATAATGCGGTTTTGGAGCAGATTCGCAGTAGTAAAAAGGGAGTTTTGGAGCAGCTCTGGAGCACCAAAAGGTGTGTTTTGGAACATCAAAACTTGGTTTTAGAGCAATTTCTTAGTCACAAACTGTTAATTAGAATTTTTTGCTTTCTGGTAAATAGAAAAAAAATAGGTGGTTTTGACTAAGCATGCAATGCTGATCAAGCGACCACACTTACGCCAAATTGATATATATAAAACCTTACAACATTAAAGCTGAAAGCACAGCAACTCAAAGAAAAAAAAACGTGCCTGGTCTCCCTATATAGGAATCTGTAAAATGCGAAAGTGAAATGCATGTGTATTTACAGAGGTACTTGAGCGTTTACTGCGCATTGTTTCAGAAACAGCAACAAATTGCAAAGTTGCATTAAGAATGGTAACCAGTTTGAAACTTGCAGCGCACACCTCTAGCAGAAAGCATGCATGAAATTAGCACACGCATCACGCCCGCGGCTAACAACTGTCAAAGCTCAACCCTTAAAGCGCGCTGTTCAACAGGAAGAAAAATGCATGAAATGAGTGCGCAAGTATGCACAGGACAAGCACGAACAACTGTAACAATTCTTACTTTCTCGTGTGTCAGCAGCGCGCTCATTTCGTAAACGTGGCCATCACAGCATGCGAAGTGACCATCGTCCTCTCTCGAAGATCGGATTGGCGCAGAATGGAGCAATTAGCGCAGTGGTTCCACCCCTGCGCTAAGGCATGATAGATACCCTCGAGGCTGCTACAAACAGCTGTGCGTATCTTTTGCCTAGTTTTCCACATTTGATTTGAACCGCATGAGATGTTTCTGTTTCATGGCAACAGACTAATTGTTAATCTCCGCTTGTGAGATGTGTTTCAAGTTCTTCAGGCTTTCTCTATGATGACATCTCTTTCGGCTCGGCAATTAAAAACAACCACACTGCTTTCATTGCAGGGGTCGTCGCAGCCTACTCTACTGCCCCACTCAAAAGAGCGCTTTCAGGAAGGCATATCACTAGCACACGATGCCAGTGATAATAAATCTGCACGCAGGCACTCACCAAGTCAGCTTCCCACACATGAGCATGTGTCATAGGGCATACCTTTCACGAGGGCATACATTATTGCTTTTAGCCACACCTTTGTCAGATGGTATGTTATTTTGTGGAGCTTCACCGGTGAAACCGATTTTTTTTCTGCTTATATGGTCCGAAGGTCTCCATCACCGTGCACATGCAATGTTAGGTGGTTGCTCAGCAATGGTGCAGCGAACGTTTTGCAACACCACTGCAGTCTTTATTATCAGCTTTGCTCTCAGAGTCTCATAATGACGTATGAACACAAATGCCACCTTAACAAGATTCATGCATTCTAGTCACGTGGCGCAAGATTCATGCATCAACTGAAATACGACATGACCGATTTAATTTGATATGAACGCGGTTGTGTCCTTTGTGTAGCCCACGCGTGTTGAGTGTTGCTCGGTCGATGACAAAACTCGACTAAACTTGTCATTGCACATGTAAATTGCCATTTAAGCACATCTTGGTGGCGCAGATCAGGTTGGCGCAGATTGGAGCAATTAGCACAGCACTTCCAACCCTTCCATCAACAGCTGCAGTGGCAGTACAATATTTAGAATGCTTAAAAAACCCAACATTCTTATTTTGCGTAATCTTGTCATGCAAATAGAAACTGTACATTACATTTTGAACCACAGTGTGTATCGATATCCGCCTCACTACTTGCTTGCCAGTTGAGGAAGAACTCAAGAGCTCCCCATAAATGTCAAGTCCATCGATAAAAAGTGCACACAACAATGCAAGCGGTGCTGCCCATAATACTAAAAAAAAACAAATAAACAGCCCTTCCCATTTTACCGCTGCCCTCGCTCCCTGTGGTGGCTGTAAGAGAGAGACAGGCACCTTTTATGATCGTTCATGTCCTGATGGAAACATACACATAGCACACGTGTCTGTGCAACCACAACAAATAGGCTGGTTAATGACTCCATATAAAAATCACACCACACAATTATTAAAGAAAAGCTACCAAAAAATATACTATCATCATGCTTTTCAAATAAACCAATTTTTCAATAAATGCATTTTGATCTATGAATTATAAATGCCAATTTTTACAAATCGAAAGCTGCCTCTGGTAGCAAAAAAATGACATGCATGTTTACAATACGCAGGACTGCTGTCACAACTGTGACAATCTTCAGAGACGTGCTTCTGTCTCATCTCTTACAGAAAATGACACACCAAAGTTTCATCTTAAGAGTTTATCTAAAATGTGTTTGTACATTTAAATATATCAACTGACATAGAATTTGCTGCATACACACCTTCATCTGCAATCCATGTATATATCTGATACGTACCTTGGCACAATATGTCATGAAAAGACTACAGTTTAGACAAGCTTTTATGTTGCTGCCAATCAATTACTGTCTATAGCTAGCACTGACTTGCGCCATCTAAACTGTCCAGAAAATGCTTTTTTTTTTAAATAACTGCTTTAGTGAAAAAGTAGTCATGGAAGTGGTCAAATCACAAGGGTCAGCAAGTAGTAGAACCCAGTAATGCAAGATGTTTTCAATGGCCCAGGCTCAGTTCAACCAATCATCTTCATCATATTCGTCAAAGAGTGGGGGTGGTGGCGGTTGTGGTTTCCATGACTGCAATAGCAAGAAAATAAATATATTAACACTGAACCCCATCCTATAATGAGCTCTGTTTTCCTGAGCTGCTAACGAAAATACACTTGGGAATGCAAAGACAAGATACTGCAAAGTTTTCAGAACAACCAAGCTATGAACGAAAATGGTAGTCTGTTGCTCTACTCTAAATGAGGTAATTAAACTTAACATAAAATGGAAAGCTAGACAATACAAAAAAAAAAACAAGAACAGTAACACAAGATGACTAAGACATGCCTATCTTGTAGGAACTTCACTCTGGCCGTTTAACTAGCACAAGCTGTCAAAGGAAAATTTCAGCCCGCAATGTCATGTTAAAAACTAACACAGAACCCCATCCTATAATGATCTCTGTTTTCCTGAGCTGCTTACTAAATTACACTTATGAATGCAAAGACAAAATACTGTAAAGTTTTCAGAACAACCAAGCTATGAACAAAAATTGTCGTCTGTTGCTATACTCTAAACAAGGTAATTAAACCTAACATAAAATGGAAAGCTAGACAATAAAAAAAACAAAAATAGTAACACAAGATTACTAGAACATGTCTATCTTGTAGGAACTTCACTCTAGCCATTTAACTAGCACGACCTGTCAAGGAACAAGTTTAGCCCCCAATGTGATCTTAACAACCAAATTTCAGTTTTACATGCCAAAACCAAATAATATGAGGCATACTGTAGTTTTGGATCCTAGATCATTTCAACCACCTAGGGTTCTTTATTGAGCACATAAATCTAAGACGAATGCTTTTTACATATGAGCTACCTAAAAATGCAGCTGCTGTAGCTAGGAATCAAACCTGTTACCTTAAGGTTACAAGCATGATACCTTAGCCACTAAGCGACCACAGCTTGACACAATTTGATAGAGAAACTGCTATGGTGGCTTAATGATTACGGTGCTTGGCTGCCGACCCAATATCTGCTGGTGATCTTGGCCGTGGCAGTCACATTGCTAGAGGCTCGTGTACTGTGCAGAGATATATGACTATTTCACAATCTTTCAATAACAGCATGTTCACATGTAGGACATACTTCTCAATAAATATATACAGCGGTTCACCAGATATGGTGTGTCGACATGCTACACAAAGCAATGGCAGCTGTAAATAAATGCTGCATCTTCACTTTGATTATTGAGAGCATCATAATTCATTTGTGCAGAACCTCGCCAGTAAATTTTGTGAATTTGAGTACCTATCGTATGAAATGGTTGCGCCATTCTCTTGCCAAAAAAAAATAAGCAGTTCTGGTAAAAAGCACACATGTACTGACATTCAGTTCTATTATAACATCCTGCAGTCAACAGAAGTCAATAAAGAAAGAGAGTGTCCACTTCAGTGAAACAGTAATCGCAGTGCTCGGATACTGACTCGAAAACCGCAGTTTCGATACTGCCGCAGCGGTCGCATTTCAACAGAGGCGAAATGGTAAAGGCCAGTGTACTGTGCGATTTCAGTGCACATTAAAGAACAAATCGCACAGTGCAGATTAAAGAACATTAGATGGTCAAAAGATCTGGAGGCCTCTACTATGGCGTCTATCATTATATCGGGTTTTGGGTTGCAAAACCCAAGATATTATCATTACTATTCAAAGAATAAGTGAGAGGTACATTCTGCGGGATGCAAAAAACCTGTACACCTCACACAATGTCCCCTGATACATTGGCTGCGATTGTGGACCAAAGCATCAGCACAACAGTAAAATTAGATGCTAAAAAAATTTTCATGCGGAATATTTAAAATGCTGAGCATGTGCGAATATTCTAGCTGTATGAATATTCCAACGAATATCAAAGTATTCGAATTCACTTTCACACGACATTAAGTAATTCAAAATTTCAAACAATTCGAAATCAACAAATAGAAGTATTATACCTGCAAATAGCCCCCTGCAAAGGTGGTTTCACTGCGGCATAGCAGTGCTATGCCCATGAAACCACCTACCCCCCCTCTCCCCCCCCCCCCCCCCCAAAAGCACATTACTGTGAAGCCCCGCGTCCAAGATTACATGAGCATATTCCCCTAACACTGACTCGTCATTTCTGAAGTTTAAAAACCTTATAGCTTAAGTTTTATAGTATATTAGAAAACATAGTGCATCTTACTGGTTATCACTTGCACCCTACAGAAATTCAAATCTTTTTACTATTCAGACCAAATTCCACATCACTTCAAACCAAAAAAATGACATTTGCACACGCATTGTTATAATTTAAAAAAATTTATGCAGGTTAGTTCGGCCATGACGATTATATAATTTTTCTTTATGATACGAGATATATACTGTATAAGGGGGTTTATGGACTAAAACCAACTGCCTGGTTTTAGGGGCGTCAGTCACTGTCACGAGCTCAGCTCTTCGTCATAGTCGTCTTCTAGCTGCTCCGACTAGATACTGTCTCTCTCCCTCTTCCCCACTACATTTGCCTCGATGGTGAAGAGGAGCCATCCTGGCGACTCACGGCGAAGCAAGCACAAGGGGATCATAGTAACGTTTTAAGCGGCTGATGTGCACTGTCTCAAGACCATGGCATCGTCTGTCATCAGCAGGTGTCACTGTTTCGACGACGTAGTTGACCAGTGATGTGCATTAAACGATGCGGTAGAGACCATTGTACTTGGGTGCAAACTTTCGAGAATGGCCAAGGGACTGGAATGAAACTGACAGCCATACAAATGAGCCTACGGGGAAGCTGTGAGCAGGCTTGTCTTCGTAAAGTTGTTCTTTTTGGAGACCTTGTGCGACGGACGTAAATGAACGTGCTAATTGGCAGCACTCTTCGGCACACTGTACAAGTTCGGAGACTGGCGGTATTCTGAAGCATCTGGGCGGTAAGTAAGTATCGTGTCAAGCGTAGAAGAAGGCTCGCATCCGTACTGTAGAAAAAAAGGTGAAAACCCAGTAGTTGCTTGCGCGGCCGTATTATACGCATACGTCACAAAAGGGAGCAATAAGTCCCAATTAGGATGATTGGAGGATATGTACATAGAGAGCATATCGCCGAGCGTGCGGTTAAAGTGCTGCGTCAAACTGTTTGTCTGTGGGTGATAGCTCGTGGTGGTGCAATGAATAATATTGCACTCACTGAGAAGCTCCTAAACGACTTGGGATAGAAACGGTTGTTATACCGATAGAAATACTGCACGCGAAAACGATAGAAATATTGCACTCACTTGCAATAGAAACGATAGCCCACGGTTGCTAAGCAGCTCACGTGGCGTGCCATGGCGAAGTACACAGCTACGCAAGATGAACAAGGCGACATCACGAGCAGCAGTGGCTGGCAAAGTGGCGGTTTCAGCGTAGCGGGTTAGATGGTAGACGGCCACAATAACCCAGCGATTTCCAGCAGGAGTACAAGGTAGTGGGCATAGAGGTTGATGCCGATTCTATCAAATGGCCAAGCTGGATACGTCAATGGTTGTAATTGGCCAGAGGCATGACAAGTTTTCCGTCGCTGACACTCAGTGCAGGAATGTATGTACTTGCCAACCTAAGAGTACTTTCTCACCAGAATAATCGCTGGCGAAGCCGGTGGTATGTTTTCAAAATGTCAGCGTGGGTGTTTTGAGGGTCTGCATGATTGATTGATTGATATGTGAGGTTTAACGTCCTAAAACCACCATATGATTATAACAGACACCGTAGTAGAAGGCTCCAATGCAGCCGCTGCAACCGGGATTCGATCCCGCGACCACGGGTCTGCATAGTAGTACGCACACATGTTGGAGCGCAAATGACGAGGTATAACAAGAAGCCATTTCCTACCATTCGGCTGATAGTTGCGACGGTACAACATGGCATCCCGTATCGAATAGGGAATTTGACGATGTAGTGCACGATGTAGACGCTGGCGTGGTGTCGCCGAAGACAAGGAGAGAACGTCGATAAGCGAGGCTATCCAAGTGTCCTTGTGTTGTTCCGAAGGCATGTCATTGGTATCGATGCTGTCGATAGTAGCTTCGGCAAAGGAAACTTGCAACGGCTGAAGGAAGGGATGAACGAGAAAGAGCGTGTGCGTCGGTATGCTTGTGGCCCGAGCGGTAAATGACGTGAATATCAAATTCCTGTAAACGTAGCGCCCAATGTCCAAGCTGGCCTGAAAAGTCCTTCAATGAAGCGAGCCAACTGAGTGAATGATTATCTGTAATGACATCAAATGGGCATCCGTATAAGTAAGGACGAAATTTTTTTAATGCCGAAACAATGGCCGAACATTCCTTTTCGGAAACAGAGTATGTGTGCTCTGCCTTGGTCAGAGCGCGACTCTCATATGCTAATACATACCCCGAGAAGCCAGGCTTGTGCTGAGCAAGAACAGCACAAAGTCCTATGCCACCGGCATCCGTGTGCACCTCGGTAGGAGCAGTAGGGTCGAAGTGGCGTAAAATAGGTGGTGAAGTAAGAAGATGGCATAATGTTGCAAAAGTATCATCGCATGCTGGCGACCAATCAGAAAGGTGTCCATCACCAGTGATCAGCTATGTCAATGGTGCAATTATCGAAGCAAAGTTCTTCACAAAGCGGCGAAAGTATGAGCACAGTCCGACGAAGCTGCGAAGCACTCTCATGGTCGTAGGCTTCGGGAACTCAGCGATAGCAGGAAGTTTCTCTCGGTCTGGGAGAACGCCATGTTTTGAGACAACGTGGCCAAGTATTGTGAGCTTTGGAGCTCCAAAGTGGCACTTCTTGATGTTTAGTTGAAGGCCTGCACTCGTGCGGCAGGTCAAGACTTCGCTGAGACATTGGAGGTGGCTGTCGAAATCAGGGGAGAAAACAACAACATCATCCAAGCAAAATAGGCATGTCTTCCATTTTAGCCCTTGCAAGACGCTATCCATCATCCTTTTGAATGTTGCTGGCGCATTACGAAGGCCGAAGGGCATTACATTGAATTCGTATAGCCCATCGGGCGTCACAAAAGCAGTTTTTGGGCGATCTGATGGTGCCATGGGGACCTGGCAATAACA